AGGGCCAGTCTGGAAGCAGTCCTGGGAATCCTGCCCTGGATCGCCGCAAGGTGGCAGTGTACATCCACTTTTGAGTTGAAAGTTGTAGTCATTCTACAGCTGCTTTTTTTTCTGGGTTTCCAGGGTACCATCTCCACCCTCCCCACCCACCCAGGAGTTTCTCATCTCCAGTTTGCCTTCTCCAGGACCTGTCTCTTCTGTGAAGCATCCTGGGGGTGGGGGTCGAACACACTATCCAGTGGTACCTGAGGTAGGTGGGGCTGGAACTAGCATGAGGCAAGAGAGGTGCCTCAGGTACACTCCTAGAGATGCTGCACATGCCCTCTTAAATTTTGTGCCCTGGATGCCTCACTTGCCTCACCCACTTCTTGGCCCTGCTCTGAGGTTGAGCAAGACTCAGGCCACTCTCACTTCTTAGGATTTTTGGTATGCTAAAAATGGAAGGAACATGTTTATAAAAATTGTGTATTCTAAAAACTTAACATTCTAGTGAACAAAAATAGAAAAAACTACACATATAACCATTTGGAAACAAAAGTCTAAATTTGTGGCTCTGAATGAATGTGAGGCCCAGGTAAGATGGCCTTCTTCACACCCTACCACCACCACCATGTTGCCTGTGACAGGTCCTGGCTGGGGCCTCTCCATGGATCATAGGTTGCAAAATCAAGCCTCCAAGGATTTCTTCTACCCAGCTCTGCCTCTAGGCTTAGCCCACATCTATCAGGGATGCCCCTGCTCCCCTGTCATCTCTTCCTCCCTTTCACATAGGACTAGTCTCCTAGGCTCTTCCCTATCTCTGTTGCTAAATCCAGTGGTTATTTCTTAATTTTCACTTAACAGTCACTCTTAAAACGCTTGGTTTCCATACACTACTGTCTTGTCTCCTTTGCTAGATCTTTCTTACCTGTTCAATCTCTGACTTCTCAGAACTTAATCCTCAAACTTCTCTGTCTACACCCCTCCCAGATGATCTTAATCGTTCCAAGACTCTAAATACCATTTATATGTTCTTTTCCCCCCAGTTTTATTGAGATAAAGTTGACATAATTAGTTTACAGTATGCATCAATGATATATGTATATATTGTAAAATGGTTACCACAGTAAGTTTAGTTAACATCACCTCACATAGTTACAAATTCTTTTTTTCTCGTGATAAGAACTTTCAAGATCTACACTCGTAGCAACTTACGAATATACAATATGATATTTTAAATACAGTCATGCTGTACATTTCATCCTCAGGACTTAATTTCTCTTATAACTGGAAGTTTGTACCTTTTGACTACCTTCACCCATATCCCCCAACCCAAGCCTCTGGCATCCACCAATCTGTTCTCTTGTTTCTGTGAGTATGTTTTTTTAGATTCCACATATAGTGAGAACATAGAATATTTGTCTTTCTCTGACTTATTTCACTTAGCATAATGCCTTCGGGGATGAATGGATAAAGAAAGTGTGTGTGTGAAAAATGGGATATTATTCAGCCATAAAAAGTAGGAAATCCTGCCATTTGCAACAACATGGATGGACCTTAAGGACCATCTATATATGGTGGCTCTTAATTTTTGTCTCAGCCTAAACCTCTGAGCTCCAGATATCAGCTTCTAATACCTGACTACTTCCGTCTCTACTTGACATCTCCACCTGGTTATCCAATTAGCATCTCAAACTTAAAATGTCCAACACAAACTTATTTCTCCCAGTCCTGCACCTCCTGAGGTCTTTACTATCTCAGTCAAGGATACCTCCATTTACCCACCTGCCCAGGCCAAAAACCTTGGCTTCATCTTGGATACCTCTTATTCTCACATTCCATATTTAAGGCATCGATAGATCCTGTCACTTTTATCTTTGAAACATAGCCAGAATACAACCACTTCTTTTCACCTCCACTGCTACTACCCTGGTCCAAGCCGTCATCTTTTGCCTGTATTACTGCAATGGTCTCCTAATTTATCCTCGTGCTCGCATCCTCTGCGGAGGATTTGCCACACAACAGCTAGACTCAGCCTTTCACTCTCTGCTCAGACATTTCCATTGCTTCCCATCTTATTCAGTCCATGTTACTCCAAGGCCCATGTTACCTCTGACCAAATATCTGAGCATTCACCTCAGCCACCCTGTTCTAGCCCAGTGGCCTCCTTGCTTTTCTTCTGACACATCAAACAAATTTCCACCTTAGGATATTTGTACCAGCTATTCTGCCTGCAATTCTCTTCCCTAGGTAGCCCTTTGACTCTCTTCCCTCCTTCTATTCCTGCTCAGTGAATCCTTTCCTTAACATTTGTATAATAACAGCCCTTCTGTGGTGGTTTTAAAAACCTCCATAAAATTTCTGATATTCCTCCCTTTAAGAGGTGAATCCTAATTCCCTTATCCTTGAATGTAGGCTGGACTTATGTGCTTTTTTTTTTTTTTAAGTTATGTACTTTTAACAAATAATATATGGCAGAAATGACAGTATGTGACCTTCAAGACTAGGTCATAAAAAATATTGGGGCCCCTTTAGTCTCTTGGGTCACTGCCGTGTTAGGAGGACACTCGGGTATGAGGTCCTCCCATGAAGAGGTCCACCTGGGGAGAACAGCCTCTTGCCAACAGCCATGTGAGTGAAGCATCCTGGAAGTGAATCCTCTCAACCCAGTCAAACCTTCAGAGGACTGCAGCCCTAGCCAACATTTTTATTACAGCCTCATGAGAGACAGTGAGCCAGAACCACCTGGCTAAGCCCTTCAAATTCCTAATCCACAGAATTGTGAGAGAATAAACGCTTGTTGTTTTAACCTGATAAGTGTGAGTGTAATTTGTTACATATTAATAGGTAATTAACACACCCTTCCCTTTCTATTCCCCCAACTCAGATTTATTTTTCTTCATTTTACTTATGGTCATTTGGCATACTATCTATTTCCCCTACTAGAATTATACCATTATGATAGTGACTTTATTTACTGCTGTATCCAACAACGCCTGGCATAAAGTAGGTGCTCAGTAAATATGTGGATGAATGGATGTCTAGGTCTGTCTGTCTTTGTGAGATGTAGGTTCAGATGGGGGCTATGTGTGGTTATGAGAGACAGCCCTTCCTCTTCACAGATGAAGAGATAAACCAGGTTCCAATCAATCTCTTCCTTCCCCTCAGCCCTTTCCAGTTGTATACCTCCCGGCTCAGACCTCAAAGGAGGGTTTACTATGCTTGATTGGTTCTTTTTCTTTTAGGAGTATCTACCCAGTCCCTGGCCTCTCTGCTCCCCTTCACCCCCTGAAAAGCAGTCTCCAAACCCTCAGACTGGAATTTCCCCAAGTTAGTTCCTCTTTTTCAAAGAATAATCTTACCATCTCTCTCTCTCCAGGTTCCTCCTCTTTGAGTAGCCAGGGGAAGCTGTGGGGAAAGAGCAAGCTGGGCACAGGAGTTCCACAAATCTCTACCCTCTCTCCTCTAGTCCTCCAGGGGGCCCCCAGAGCTTGTTTGTCTGCTTCTGTACATACACTGATTCTCCACTGTGCGGGCCTGGCTTCAGAGAGGGGTGAGCAGAGGCAGGGGCTTGCCTCTGCACCAGGAGAACTTACCACACAAAGCCCTATTGGAAGGGGCATCAGTACTGATGGTTGTTGAATTACCAAGGTAGGAATGGGGTCTGACCTTCAGGTCTGAAATCTAAGCAGAAGGGCTCTGAAGTGAGCCAAAGGTATGAACAGGACTGACCCTTAGTGTGGCCAGCGATGAACTAAAGAGAACACAGACTTAGTGCCACAGTGGGAGCCAGGCTGGGAACAAGAGTGGAGGCTGGAGTCACCCACAAGATCTTGGTGGTGCCCAGGCCAGGGCAAGCTGGGTCTGAAAGGAGGGGACTGATTGGGAGAGGGTCGGGGAGAGAGGAAGCAACAGTCACACCTGAATTCTGCCTCCTGGAGGAATCCTGGCACTGGGAGGAATCTTGCCTCACTGAGTATGAGGTCGGGATTGTCCCTGGTGCTAAGTCTGGGTTTGACATAGCAGTTTCACACACATGCCAGGTATCCCCCTACACACACATGTTCTTTCACACACTTAGTGTCACCTCTGGGTAAAACCTGCTTTTGGTGGGTTGACTCCCTTGGGTACAGGAAGAAACTGGGGGATGTATGAGGGTGACTGAGAGGAATGAGGTTCGGGTTGCTCAGAGGAGAAATTGTGACCTGCCATCAGGAACCCCAAATAAAGAACAGCATCTCAGCATCTGGGGTATAACTGGGGGTAGGGCCTGAATCAGTTGTCTGAAGGGGTCTGGAGATACAGACTGGGAAGTCATGCACACATGGGTGGAGGATGTGTGTGAAGATGGGCAAAATGCTGATCACTGCCAAAATGTGTTATCAGTACCAGAGATTCATTATACTATTCACTCTTCTTGTGTATATGTTTGAAGATGGCCATAATAGAACTTCAAAAGAGCTGTAAACAGTGGCTGTGTATCTCCATGTGGGATGTGTACCCTGCTGCAGGTGTGGATTCAGCTCAGAGACCTCCAAGTATGTGTGCAGAGATGTGAATCCACCACCATGTGCACGTAGTGTATTATGCAAACTGCAGCACGCATTGCAGTTGGGGACAGCACCTGATGAGGGCAGGGGAAGAAGCTTCAGTTCTGTCCATGCCCTCCACACTTACCCCAGCATTCTGCAGAGTGATTCCCCTCATGATCACAGGCCATTGGTGCTATAGTGTCCGTGCAACCAAGTATGTGAGACAGGGCAGCTGTGTGCCTGAACTTGTGGCAGGGCGTGTAGGTGTGTGAACACAGCTATTTGTGTGTGAATGCTGGGCACTGAGTGTAGATGTGGAGGGGTGCAACTTGTGAGGCTAGGCAGGGTCTTGGTGACGAGCCCAATGGCAATGGACTCCTCACTCTCCTTTGCACGATTCCAGGCGCCGCTCCAGTGCCTCCTCCCTCGAATCTAGCTGTATGGAGGGCGGGAGACACCTGTTGGGAGGGCTGGGAGCGGCAGTGCAGACTGGGGCTCTCCTACTCCGTCCCCGCCCGCCCTGTCCCGCTTGGGTCCCGCCCCGGTGGCGGCCGCCAGCAGAGCAGCGTGAGCGCACCGCAACCAGAGGTGCGCACCGCTGCAGGAGCGCACAGCTGGGGACCCCGCGCAGGGAACCGAGCCAAGGCAGGGGTCACCGGAGAGGCGGGCGGAGCAGAGGGAGAGCCGTGGAGACTCAGGGGGCAGCGGGCCGCTCCAGGCTGGTGAGTGAGGCAGCGGGGTGCTGGGAGCTATAGAGCGGGCGTCGAGACCCCGCCGTCCCCTGCCCTCCCGGTCTCACCCTTGTCCCGGCCTCTGCCTGCGCCATCCTCTGTTCCCGCGCCTCCTGGGTTCTAGTCCTCTGTTTCCGCCGCGTCTTTCGGTCTGTTTTTTCCTCTCTCTGTCTGTCCCCCTCTATTACTGTCTAGCCCTGTCTCTTTCTAATCGCTCTCTTCTGTCTCTGTCTCCTGCTGCATCGGTCTTTCCTGTTCTTTCTCAACCCCTGTCTAATTGTCTCTCTGTCTCTGTCTCTCTCTTTGGACTGTCTGTCACTCAAGTCTTTGATATTTATCTCTTGCTCTTCTCTTTTACCGTCCCTGTCTCTCCGCCCAGTATCTCTATCAATCTCATCTCTCCCCACCTCTGTCTCTCCATTCTTGTATCTGCCTGATATCTGTCTCTCTCAGTCTTGGTTCCTCTCAGTCTCTGTCTCTCCCCACCTCTCTCCTGTCCCTCCATCCCGTCCCGTCTCCATTTCCATCTTCATATCTCCCTGTCATTGTCTCCGTCAGATCTCTCTCTCTCACTCTCCTCCATCTCTCTCTGTTTCTTGGTCCTCGTTACCCTCTTTGATCTGTTCAGTCTCTACCTGTCCTCAATGCTCATTTCCGTCTCTTTGGCTGTCTTTCCTGCTCTTTCTACATCTCTGTCAATCCCCAGGAAAACAATCTTTCTGCCTTTTTCCTTATGGCCCCCCTGCACTTCCCTGAATCCATGACCACCTCCGCTTGTGTTGGGGGTTGTGGGGCAGCAAGGCCCAGCACCTATAATTCCCTCCCCCACAGGCGGCCCTTTCTTCCGGGCCCCGCCTAATGCCAGGCCCCCCACAAGTGGGGGGACTGCGCCTGGAAGCTGTAATGGAGGCCTTGCAGAGGCAGCAGGCTGCCCGACTGGCCCAGGGAGTGGGGCCATTGGCCCCTCCACGCCCACCGCTACAACGGCACCCCCTGCCTGGCACCCGGATTCTGCAGGCCCCTGAGGGGGCCTTGAGGGAGGTTGGGGCTGAGGAAGAGGAGGATGCCCAGGAGGATGAGGAGGAGGAGGAAGCCCAGGCAGAGGAGGAGACAGCCGAGCAGAGCGATCCAGGGACCCTGGGCCCCAGCTCACCTTCCAGACAGCCCCCTGGACCTCACTCCCATGAGTGGACCTACGAGGAACAGTTCAAGCAGGTAGGACTCCCTCAAGTCAGGCCCTTCCCCCTTCCTTTTCTCTGGGCAAAAGCAGAACCAGATGATTAGTAGCCCACCCATCCCCACTGCCTTCCGCAGGCTTGGAAGACAGAGACACAGAGACCTAGAGAGAGATAGTGGAAAGACTGAAGGATAGATAGTGACAGGAAGGGAGAGACAGGCACCCAGAGACATGGAAAGAAGTGCATAGGCACACACTGAGAGGTGTAGGAGACACCCAGAAACATGGGGGCCGACAGAATGGAGGTTCTTGATGAGGCTGGAAGGGAAAGTGGGAGGGGTATAGGAACCTTCAAGAATTCTTTTGAGGGGGGATCTGGAGACTGGGGATTCCAATGCCAGCACCATCCTACCCTAACTTTTCACATATCAAGTCACAAGGTTATATTCCAGTGACCAGTGTGAATATCCTGGGCTGCCTGCTTCTGGCTTTGGAAGCAGGATGGAAGTTGCCACTCCTTTGACAAACTGATATCCTCTTCATCTCTTCCCTGTCACATTCCCCCAATCAAAACCTCTCCCTGGCTTGAGTTCTGTGGGTGACAGTTCTCAGCCCATGATGGCCACTACAGCCGCAGTGTAACTAATAGGCCCCAGTGCAGCTGAGAATGACAAGATCTTACTCATAAGGCCTTATCTGAAGTTCTTTCTCCCTGTGGAACCCATCTGGATGTTATTTTAAGTTACAATTTCAGGTTGTCACTATGAAGGTATTCTGCAGGGATATGACTCTAGGTATGCTATTCTGAAGGGTATTGGTCTTGGGTATTTTCCAAAAATGTTTATATAGTACTCTATGGCATTGGCGTACAAAGGAGTGTACTCAGGGCTCTGTTACTCTGGAGATGTGGCCGTTTCTCCTGGGTATAATTCTAGGAATTATTACTTGCAGAGTGTGTTACTTATGGGCATCCATCTAAGACATAGGGCTCGGTTCTTGTAGGAGCGTAGCTCTAAAGGTGAAGTTCTGGGATTTGTTATTTGTGGGTGTTTTTCACTGAGAGTTCTTATTGGGGAATGGAGTATTACCTATGGGTGTTACTTAGAGACTGATACTCTGGGTAAATGAATGTTACTCTAGGGATTGTTCTTCCTGGATGGTATTTTGGAAGTGATACTGGAGTTGGGGATCCAGATGACTGGGAATGTGTGGGATGACCCCCTGGCCCCTTCAAGTTCTGACCCCACATGTCCTGGTTGGTACAGGGCCATTGCCTCTGTGATAGCTTCTGTAGTGGGCAGGTCATTGTCCCTGGAAAGAGATCAGAGCAGAAGGTGGGCTGAGGAGCCCCAGGTTTCAATCCAGGAGCTTCTCAGCATCCATCTTGCCCAAGGGATGGGTTAGAGGCATCTCTGCCCCTCATCTCCAGCCCTGGCACACAAGAGATGTGAACAGCAAGATGCCCTTGCAGGAATGAACAAAAGTGCTCAGATATATGTCAGTTTCCCCAGTGTGGAACACAGTCCCAGCCTGACTTCCTCTCTGGGGCTCTGTGCATGCCCTGGAGGACAGGCTGAGCCTCTGCAGCTTTCTCTTTTCCCCTACTCCCCAGGTATGTGGTTTGACCTGCCTAGGGCACAACTAACTAGTAAGGGTTCTCCGTGTGTATTAGAAAAAGTGTCCTTACCTGCCCCCAGGGGGAGAGAGCCTAATGTCTGAGAGTCCACATTTCAGACCCCACTTACCCCTTCAGCTGGGGACCCTTATTCAGGGGAGAACTTGAGTTGGGGCTCCAGGGGGAGGGGTCTCAGCAGAGCTGGAAAATGACCTTAGTCCTTCCTTAGCTGTACGAGCTCGATGCAGACCCCAAGAGGAAGGAATTTCTGGATGACCTGTTTAGCTTCATGCAGAAGAGGGGTGAGTGGGGTGATGTAAGGGAAGGACTCCCATTTACCAGGTTTGAGGATGGGAGACCTCAGGGTTTAGTCCCCATGTTGGGTCCTCTCCACAGAGGCCTAAGCTTGGCAGCACCTATCTTTTGGGCCCTCAATAGTGTCCTTAACCTCTGACCTGGCCCTCCTCCTCCACCCAGCGATTAATTAGTGGCCAGCCCACTGGCAGGTTAATGAGTGTGAGATCAATTGGGAGGGTGGGAAGGGGAACTGGTGGGGGGCTGGCCTGGAGTGGGTGGTGGTTCCCAGGACTAGGGGGCTGGGAATGCCTTGCTCCTCTTTCGTGGACCCTTCCTCCAGCTTTGTCTCTCCTCAGTTTCCCCTCGCTTCAGGCAGGGAACACCCAATGTGCTCTACAGCAGGAAGGATGGGGATTAGACTAAAGGAAGGACTTTTTGAGGGGTAGGCTGGGGACCATGTGAGTTGAAGCTTTGCATGAGGAGGAATTCCTTTCCAAGAACCTCAGAGCTGAAATAGAATGCAAGAAGGGTCCAGGAGGGGATCAGGATGGGCGGCAGTTCATCACTTAGGCTTCTCCCCAGATTCATGGGTCCGAAGACTGACTCATTATCTCTCTCTACAAAGCTAATTAACTCACTAGGAGCTTGGCCTGATAAGCTGCTAATTAACTGGCTGCACCGCCCCCCTCCCCTTAATGCGGCTGCTGGCCAAAGTCCCTCAGGCCCCCACCCCAGGCCCAGCACCCCTTTCAAGTCCATTCCTAACCAGGGACCTTCAGTGGGGCCCAGATCCTTTTGCTCCCAGGGAGACCTAGTCATTCTGGTTCCAATGTACCCTCCCTGCCCAATCCTCGAGGTCTCCCCTCTACTGGGGGTTGGGTTAGGGTGGTCTGAACAGGCCCCAGAACTCCCCCTGCACCCCCCAGCTCTGCCTCCCTCTGCTCCCACTGAAGGGGGAGGAGTCCCGCGGGGCCGATAATTTCCCCCCATTAATCAGGCCGCAGCTAATTGTTCGGGTCCAAAGGCGCCAGCGAAAGGGGACGGGATCGGTAAGGAATTAACTGGGGCCCATCGCTCAGTGCAGACAGGCCCCTTTGTCAGGACTGGCCGGTGGGGGCGGCGCGGCTGCGGAGTTGGCGAGCCGAGGCAGGAGCTGCTGCTTCTCCTATCCACCATCCCTCAGCCTCAGGCAGCCACCCAGGGCCGCTGCTTAAGGGAGTCCGGCTCCTCATCTCTGTCAGAAAGTCCTTCCTATGGTCTATCCCAGGGGCCAGCAAACTAAAGCCTGTGAACCAAACCTAGTCACCTGCGAGATAAGAATGGTTATTATATTTTTAAAGAGTGTAAAAAAGTATAAGACAAATAACATTTCCAAACGTGTGAAATTCGAATTTTATTGGAACACAGCTGCACCCCTTAAATATTCCCTAGAGCTGCTTTAAGGCTATAGTGGCAGAGTGGAGTAGTTCTGAAGAGACCATTTGGCCCACAAGGCCTAAAACATTTACATGTGCCCCTTTACGGACATTTGTGTACCTGTGCTTTAGCCTCCAGTCCTTCCTGCTATAATGGAGGCCTTGGGGGCTCTGTGGGCTCTACCTGAAATACCACCTCCCACCTCTCCCTTTTCCCCTCCTTTTTCGAGGTCCCGCCATGTACCCGGGCCTCGTCCAGGCAGCCCAGGATCCTGCAGACCGGGCCTTAGTCTTAATGTCCTTTCTGCCCATCCCCTAACCAGGAACGCCAGTGAACCGCGTGCCCATCATGGCGAAGCAGGTGCTGGACCTGTACGCGCTGTTTCGCCTGGTGACGGCCAAGGGTGGCCTGGTGGAAGTCATCAACCGGAAGGTGTGGCGCGAGGTCACACGCGGCCTCAGCCTGCCCACCACCATCACGTCGGCCGCCTTCACTCTACGCACCCAGTGAGGCCAGGCGCGCCAGCAGGAGGAGGGCTGGAGGAGGGTGCGGGAGGCGGGGCCTCGGCGCGCGGCTGGCCCCAAAGCGGGCGTCCGGGTATGGGGCCGGTGTAGAGCTGGATCAGCGGGACCCGGTATCCCACAGACACACTCCCTGTCCCCACCTAGATACATGAAGTACCTGTACCCATACGAGTGCGAGACGCGGGCGCTCAGCTCCCCAGGGGAGCTCCAGGCCGCCATCGACAGTAACCGGCGCGAGGGCCGTCGACAAGCTTACACAACCGCCCCGCTCTTTGGCATGGCGGGGCCGCCCCCTCGGGGCACTCCAGGTCCAGCCTCGGGTCCTGGCCCCGCCCCGTCCGCGCCCACTCCGGGTCCTCGTCCCGCCCAGGGCTCCGCCTCCGGCCTGCCAGCCCACGCCTGCGCTCAGCTGAGCCCGAGCCCCATTAAGAAAGGTATGAAGAGTGAGAGGCTGAATTTTGAGGTCTCTGAGATCTAGAGGGTCGCTGAAATATAGACATTAAAATGCAGGGATTCTGAAGTGTGGGAGGCATGTGGTTAGTGCCTCTTGTGACCTGCACCTTTTGTGTCAAGATTGTTTCCAAATCTTTTCTCTGATCCTGAAAACAAGACAAATCATCAAATGAGATCCTTGCAGTGCGGTTTTGAGGTCTCTGAGATCTAGAGGGTCGCTGAATAAACAACATTAAAATGCAGGGATTCTGAAGTGTGGGAGGCATGTGGTTAGTGCCTCTTGTGACCTGAATTATTTAACAAGAGAGAGCAAGAAAATCCCCCGAATTGTCTTGGACCACCCTAGACATATATATTGGCCCTTTGGGCTCTCAAGCTTCAGAGCCTCTAGGCTAGGGCTCTGGACAGGAGTAGAGATTGAACTTGATGCTTAAGCTCTGGTGACCTCCCTTGGTCCCAGGCCTGGGGGAAGAACCAAATGCAGAAACTGAGTTGGTTGGGCTAGGGGAGCTGAATGACCTGTTCTTTCAGAGGAGAGTGGAATTCCAACCCCTCAACTGGCACTGCCTGTGGGTCTGGCCTTGGCACCTGCACGAGAGAAGCTGGCACCAGAGGAGCCTCCAGAGAAGAGGGCTGTGCTGATGGGGCCTATGGACCCACCTCGACCTGTGGTACCCCCTGGTTTCCTGCCCCGTGACAAGGTTCCCCTAAGGGGTGAGGAGGGGCTTGTTGCTGATAGGGCTTTGGGCCTGTGCACTGTGGGAGGACAGACCCATCACCTGATAGGCATTGGAGGTGGGGCAGATATACTGCACAATAGATAACCCTGTCATTACAAGTGTGAGCTGAAGTGGAATGAGGACTGTCTATAGGGATGGAGGGGGAACTTGTAAGTCTGAAGTCTGATTTTTCCATATGTGACTCTCCTGCCTCCTGGACAGACGAGCGTCTGGATGGGCCTCTCAATCTGGCAGCCAGTGGTATCAGCAGTATCAACATGGCCCTAGAGATCAACGGGGTGGTCTACACTGGTATGGGTACTGCAGGCTGTCTATACTGGCATGAGGTTAGGGGTATTTACACTGGCATGGGGATTTTAGTCTTTTTCTACTGGGATGAGGTTCAGGGATATCCAAACTTGCATGGGTAACATGGGGTTCAGGGGATTGCTACACTGGCATGGGTTAAAGGGGGTATCTATATGGCATGGGGTCCATTAATCCCCCATGGCATGGGTACCATGGGATGTCTGCCTTGTCATGGGCCTAGGTATCAGTGTAAATATTTATTGTTTACCTGTTTGAGGATATCTGTATTGGCATCAGAGTGTCTAATTGACCCAAGGGAATTTTCCTCATGGGTTCGTGTTAGGGGTATGTGTGTAGTGTTCTAGCCATCAGGACACTGACTTTTGTTTCCTTCTTCTGTTTCTGTACCCTACCCGCTCCTGCTTGTGCTTGCCTTCTACCATCTCCTCATCCCTTTGCCAGGCATCCTCTTTGCCCGCCGCCAGCCTATGCCAGCTTCCCAGGGCCCAGCCAACCCTGCACCCCCACCTCCTACAGGGCCCCCTTCCAATACCTTACCCTGAGAGCTTCCACTTGGAATTAAGAGTCCCAGCCCCATTGCTGGGGGGAGACACATCCTCTATCTTGATTCTCCCAGGGTGCTGACTCTAGGACTCAGCCCTGGGAGGTGACCACTCCCCCACAATGCCATGTGGACTTGAAGCCAAATAGTTTTTGTGTTTTTTTCTTGATGTTACATCTACCTCATTATAAAGGGAGGGCACTTCCTCCCTGGCCAACTTCAGCAGCATCTACCAAAGAGTTCTGCTCCCAGTAACCCCCCTCATCCCCTCATGTGCTTCAGTGTCAATGACATCTCTAGGATCCTACCTCTTCGAGTCAGACCTGCTTCCACAGGAGCCAGGTGAAAGGTTGGGGTTGGGGTGTTGTGAGGGAGATGTCCCTCAGGTCACATCTGGACAATAAAGCTGCAGTCCTTTCCTTCTCCATGCTTCTTCTCCTTGTTTGGGTCTGGGGTTTGGGGAGGAATTATGTGGTATATACAGGCTGCATTTGGCCAGGGGTTCTCAGAAGGGAAGACAGAATAGCAAAGGTCCATGAGGATTGAAGAGCAGGGTCTCATGAATCATAGTGCTCGGGTTCAAATCTCAGTTCTGCCAATATAGTGATGAGTGGCCCGGGGCAAAGCACTTAATGGCTTGAACCTTAGAAAACTCCAAAAGGTTATGGTAGCTCACGGGGCCACCTGACCTATGGGAAGGGACCAATCCTGGAATAAAGGGTATATTTATATGTGCAAATTTGGGGAGTTTGGTGGGAAAACCTCTTTGCAAGAAGAAAGTCAAAGGTTGTCTTGACAAACAGGAACAGGAATCTAGAGTAGGGCCTAACAGGTGGCCGTTGCCTGGGTAACCAGACAACTTTTGATACCTTTCCCTGGCTCAGCCAGTTACTTCTGGCACTTAAGGCTTGAGTTGTGACGTCGCTTCCTTTCTGGGGGCGAATGCGCACTTGGATTGGCCAGCCTTCTCTATTTGGTCGGATGTCCCGCCCTTTGACTGTTCTGCAGCCGATGCGGGGCAGTGCTAGCTATGGCGGCTGTAACCGATGTGCAGCGGCTGCAGGCCCGAGTGGAGGAGCTGGAGCGCTGGGTGTACGGACCAGACGGGTCGCGCGGTTCCCGGAAGGTGAGCGACCTGGGGTTCAGTGGTCCTTTTCTAAGGCAGAGCAAGAGCGGTATACTGGCTCAGTCCTCGGGGTGGATGCCACCGCTCCAGTACTGTAGCCTTGCAGCCCGGCCTTTGAAATAAGAAAGGTCTGAGACCACCCGGAGCATATTGAACCCTCGGGGTTCATTCCCATGCAGGGCACTGCGGGTTATTAGGCTCACTCGAAATGGGCTCAGTATGAACTGTGACTAAGACTCCGCCCCTGCCCTCACAGGCCATTTGGAGAGACTTGACACACTCGAGAAGCTGACTAATGAGAGTTTCAATAAGAGCTCAAGTCCACAATGGAAGAGCCGTCATGGAGCCCTGTGTAATTAATTGCCAAATGAATTGTGCAGAGAGCGGTCCATAGAACTCCAGAGGAGGCAGAGCGCAGGTGCATAAGGAAGACTGGGGGAGGTGGGTAAGAGGTGAGGTCTGAGAGGACTAGAATTAGTAAGAGAAGGAGTTGTATACTGGATGTTCCTATGTGGACCGGCACTCCTTCACACCAGGGACTAAATTTTGACAACTGTGAAGCTCACTTGCTCTCTCATCCCCTTTTTACTATGGGAAGACCTATGGAAGGTGGAGTGTCAGGAATATTCTGAAATTAAGTGCATCAGTGGTAATGATGTCTGTACACTTCTTGTGGAATTAATTGTCACAGCTGATTGTTCCCCATTTGAGAACTGACTTCTCAAAACATTCTCTCCCTTTGACATCAATGATGCTAACTGTCCTGGTTTTCTTCCTTCCTCTTTGGCTGCAGCTGCTCAGTCTTATTTGCCTCCCCATGTATTTGACCCTTGAATATTGGCATTCCTCACCCTCTAACCCTAAAACCTAGGTAGGTTCAGTCAGAGAGGTAGGAACCGGGGCATTTAAATAGTATATGCTACTGCCCCACAAACTCTAAAATAGTTCATTACCTTCTCAATCAGACTTGAGATGCCCCAAGGAGTACATGATTATTTCCCCTTTCACATTGAGGATTCTTGGAAGGTAGAGTTGCATCTCCTTTAATACAAGAGAAGGGAGCAACCTAGATTTCTAGGACAAAGCCTTGAAACAGTTGGTGAATCTTGGAATTAACTTCCACTTCCCTTATAGGTGGCTGATGGCCTGGTTAAGGTGCAGGTAGCTTTGGGGAACATCGCCAGCAAGAGGGAGAGGGTGAAGATTCTGTACAAAAAGAGTAAGTGTTGCCTTGGGGTGTCTGCTTACCCTCCTTTCCATGCCTATGCTTCCTGGGACCTGGGACCTGGCCCTTCAGCACAGTAGGTCTCTGGAGTCACCCTTTGGGGATAGAATGAAGTCACCCTTTGGGGATAGACTGTGAATCATTTCCCTGCTGAAATGGTGAATTGGAGTGTGCTTTATATTTTGTGGTTGAACTCCAAGCCCATGACAGTGTCCTAAGTTAGAATAAGAGCTCTGCTTGAAAGGTCCTCTTGGTGAAGGAGGGTGAAGGGGTATGGAATTTCCACAGGCAAGGTTCAGAGGCGGGAACTTAGTCACTGAGAGCCCCAGCCTTGGTTCGGCCATGCCTTCTTGAGAATATCAGCTCTAGCGACCTGCTCAGTAACTAGAAATCAGATAAAACTCTGGCTCGTCTTGGTGGCACTGAGAGGCTAGGGGCCTTCCACCCCTGGTGAACATAGGTCATTGGGAATATTGAGGGCTCCAGGGTTGGGGGGCAACTGTGTTCCCAGCTCTAAAGTTTGAGGTCAGCCAGCCGGTGATCAGGGTAGAGACAGGAAAGTGGGGATAGGGGGCCTGGTGGAGACCTGCTTTTGGACACTGTGGGTATCAGCTCATCACTCAAAGCTCTCTGCAAGGTAGACCACTCCCCCAATATCAGTCATAAAACAGATTTCCACTCCCCAACCCTATTCCATTTTCCATCTTGCTGCTTTTCTAGTTGAAGACCTGATCAAATACCTGGATCCGGAGTACATTGACCGCATTGCCATACCTGATGCCTCTAAGCTGCAGTTTATCTTAGCAGGTAGTCCTGGACAATGTGTATATATGCATCTGGGGATGTGAATTGTGGGGGAAGTTGGTCAGAGAGATGGCCTCCCTACCTGACCTCTCATGAACACAGCTCTGGAAACTGCTCTTTGGAATTCTGGCCTAGCTCTAGGCTGAGGCCCAAGGTGGTCCTGTGGTCTTCTAGTAGACATTGGGTCTAGTATATTTCTGAGCCAGGTGCAGGCCATGGTGTTAGCCACAGTGGGAGCTACTCCAATGTTCTATTAGTGGGCTGCCTCTAGGATTGTTCTTTAGAACCTTCCTCGCTTTTGCTCACTAGACAGAAGAGCTTCTAGGTAAGGGTGGGGGCAGAGAGCATTGCACTTGGAAGAGGAGAATATTGGTAAGAGTTTCAACATCTTTCATGTGAGAAAGCTCTGGGATTTCAGAGTTCTAGACAGGAAGTATTGTCTTAACAATGTCTGCTAATCAGTCAGCCACTTCATGAGGGTTTGCCAAGCACCTGTGTTTGTCATTCATTATAAAGATTTTTAATGACCATCTGCTGTGATCCAGACTGTCTTAGGTGTGAGGTATACAATGGTGAACCAGAACGTCCCTGAGTCATCTCCATGGCTCAGACATTGAGTTAAGGAGATCTTTTCTTGCACTGACTCTTGAGTCCAGCCTCTTCATCCTTTCCTGTGACTACTGCCTCAGTGTTCAACCCGTTGCACATGAACAGTTACAGTCTCCTATGTTTTCTTTTTGACCCTAGTCTATCCCATTCACATATGGTCCAGTATCATCTTCCTAAAACACATTTCCAACATGCCACTTTGGCTACTTTGGAACCTCAGTGTCTCTCTCCTTGCTAAGATAAAGTTGTAAAACCTTAGCGTGCCATTCAAAGCCTTCTATAGTCTGCCAGACTTACCCCCACCCACAATTCTGTTTCCTGTGTTCTCCTTGCTCTAGTTCAGTAAATTGTCTTTCCTCTACTAATTGACAAGCATTCTTGCCTCCAAATGTTTGACATAACAGTCCTCCCTTTTTGCATGCCCTTCTCACTCTGCAGTCATTGAAATCCCCTATGCAGAGGCACGCTTTCTTCACTGGACTCTTCTGTTACTGTCCCAGCTCTCCAGGAGCTTATAATTTGTGTATCTCAGAACCACTGAGCAGAATCTGCCTGGCAGTCTGCCACATGTCTCCTCTTTCGACCTTCCCAGGAGCCCTTGAGTGTGGGGATCCAAGTCTGAAGTACTTTGTCTTCTGTGGCCTAGGAGGGACTCACTGAATTTGTTGATAGGAGGCTAGAAGAAGAGGCCTTAGAGTTAAAACTTGGAGAAAGGTGGGATTTGGAGAAACTTAGAGGCTTCTTGGGCATAAGATGGGTCAGAGCAGAGGCATACAGGAGAGATGGGGGCAGAATGGGGGGATGTGCACCTAGAGAAGGGGGCAGTGGGCAGAGTAGCTGCCCCAAACTCCAGGACCCAACCATCTTCCCTGCCAGGTCCTCAGCCCCCTTCATCAGAGTAGCAGTGCCCAGGCTTGCCTCACTGACTTATTTTATCTGTTTATGCCTCAGAGGAGCAGTTTACCCTCTCCCAGGTTGCACTCCTGGAGCAAGTGGAGGCTTTGGTGCCCATGCTGGACAGCGCTCACATCAAAGGTACCTTTCCACTACTCTGCTTGGGGAGGTGTGTGGATGGGCAGGACTTCCCCTGGGCTCAGACCAGGTCTGCTCCTTATCTTTACCTTTACCCTGGGAGTACCTGCCTCCTGCTATGGGATTAAAATTGCCAGGGCAGAGAGCTAAGTTTCAGAACACCAGGCAATTTGGGCCTGAGGACACTAGTATAAGCCCAGCAGCTCCCAGTTCGATTCCTTCTGCCTTTTACCCCACCCCTCAGCATCTGTCCGTCAGGGTGCTGCAGAGTCCGGATTTTACTACAAGAGTCCCTGCCGGGTATGTGGATGCGTGTAAATTCTTCCTGCTAAGAGCAGTCCCTGGGCTTGGGTTTTGACAAGCAGACAGTGACTTTAATTGAATCCAGATATCCATCTTGTCTGTCTCTGAAGGTATTTTTCCCAGCTTCCCCTCCCTACACCTGATAGCTGCCTGCTGAGCATCTGACAGCCTTAAGCTTGGGGCCCAGCGTGGTGGCCAAGGCTTTGGGTGTTGGATTCCAGGTAGCCAGCTTAGGGGCCTGGCATTCATCTTTAGCCCACCTGTAGGCTCCCTGTTCCCTAGGCCAGACAGACTTGATTTCACTGGGGTGACAGCAAAGGGACAGGTTTCATGATAGGCAAAGATCTTTACCTGGCCCTGCTTACAGCACTGGGGTGGGGGTATGAGGCAATTCTGGGGACCCCAAGGTTTGTCTTCTCCTAGGGACCTGTATCTTCCCCTCCTTTTTGGGTCCTTGAGTAAGACTGGGGTGGGAAGGGAGCCCCACCACTACCTCCAGCTGCAGTGGTCGATGAAGCCTGGCGTTTGTTTAGCTTCTCCACTCAATACTCTAATCCTGCCGAAGACCTAATAGACTATTGAGCAGTCCCAAGGGAAGGCACAAGCATCATCGGGCAGTGTTCGTTGTGTTTTATAGCCGTTCCTGAGCAAGCAGCCCGCCTGCAGCACTTGGCCCAGATTCACATCCAGCAGCAGGTATGGAAGGGGAGAAGACCGGGAAAATAGCCTCAGGCTCCCCAGCTCCTCGGAAAACTTGGGGTTTTATCCTTTATCTTCCATCTGCCTTAGAGAGGGGAAGGGACTTGCCAGGTCTCCTGCCTCCCAGAGTAGGGCTATTCAGAGACACCAGAAGGTTGGTGTTGGGAGGTACCCGAGAATTCCTGGGGATGGTGTTTCCTTGAATATAGGTGGAGGAACTATTTTTTCACTATTCCCAGGCTCCAGTGTAAAGTTCAAAAAGGGTTCAGAAATAGAGGACGGGAGGAGACATATACTAACAGAAATGTTTCCTTAAAAGCGTGGTCCACTCCCCCTTCCATCAGCCTTAGGACTGTAATTAGGGCATCCATCTTAGAACCTCAAAGTACTCCTTTAGAAATTTTCTTCTTTTGGCTCTGGGGTTAAACATCACTTTTTCTAGGCTGTATGGGGAGTGGGGTCCCTAATAAGACCAGAAAGTTAGTGGGAAGTGGAGGCTTCGTCCAACTCCTTTCTCTGCCACACCTTGGCCCCGCAGGACCAATGTGTGGAGATCACTGAGGAGTCCAAGGCTCTCCTGGAGGAATACAACAAGACTGTATCCTTTCTGCTCAGCCAGGCCCCTGAAGAGTGTTGTCCAAAGCCCTGTCCTTTTGTTCTGTCTCTAGCTCTGTCTCATCCTGTCCCAGCCAGCCTATTCCCATTCCCCCACCTTCTTGGCAGATGCAAAATCTCTATACTACCTCACTCAGACTCCTGTTCTCACCTTGACCTGGGACTAGACAATGCTTCTCTCCAAGCAGTTTGTGCAGTGGGATGAGCTGCTTTGCCAACTAGAAGCTGCCAAGCAAGTGAAGCCAGCAGAGGAGTGATGGCTGCTCCCCATCCCAGGGTGGACCAGGGCAGGCCAGGGCAGGCCAGGGCAGCCAAGCTCCAGGGTCCTATACCAACCTGCCCTTGTAGCAGAGCAAGGCAGCTCTGTATTTATTGGATTCACAGCCTACCTGTCTGCACTCAGGTGGGGCCCTGAGATCAGATGTCTGGCTACTTGAGATTTGTTTGTTGCACACCCTCCCCTCATCAGTACCCTATTCCAGTGACAATAAACTGTAGAGACCACTGGAGGAGTGTGCTGTCTTCTTGGTCTAGGTTGGGATTGAGGGAGGGGGAAAGGGGCCAGTGGAGTTGTCATTGTTCCTGTGGTTGAACCAGGAGCTATACTCATCCTGGTCTTGCTTTCTGGGAGGTGTATGGCCCTCAGGATAAATTCGCTTGATGTCAATGGAACATTCATTTATGTATCCATTTACCCCACATTTACCAAGAACCCCTCTAAATGTCAGATTCCATGCCAGGTGGGGAAGACACAGGTAGGGTCCACCCGATCCCTCCCCTGCACAGGCTAGCTGCTTGAGAGAGTCAAGGAAAAGGGCAGTCCCACCAGGTGGGAACAAGGTCTTTAGGGGCACAGAAGGAAAAGGGATGGAGGGGGGAACTCTGGAGGATGATAAGCGGGCTCTTTGTGAGCCAAAGGAGCAGTATGTGCAAAGGCAGAGAGGAGCCTTGAAGGTGCTCTCTGTTGATGCTATTAGCCGAGAAGGGGAGCCCAGAAGAGGTTCTGATGCAGGAGTTTGGGCAGGCGGAGAGATGACGGTGAGGGTGGGAGCCGCTAGGGAAAGCGACAGAGCTTGATAAAAAGCTGAAACAGATTGACACCTCACTCCACCAAGTGTTTGCTGCCCCCTTGTGGTCTCCCAGAGTGCTGTGGGACACCCCACCTGGGCTCTCACTAGCATTTCAAATTGAGCATGTCCGAACCTAAGTCTGAAACTGGGAGACATCCCAGACTCTTCCTTCTCTGTCCAAACGGTCTCCAGCTCCTCACCACACCTACCTCCCAACTTAATCTACTTTTCTCTACTTCCACTGCCATTTCTCTACATCATTCAACAAATCCTTTAACAAGTATTTGAGTACCTATTACACACCGGACGAGTCTCCGTGGACACGCCCCTGGGACCCTGCGGCCTGGAGTCACCAGTGGTTGGGGCCCGATTTCCCTATCCCTATCCCATCCTGCGCAGGAGCCAGAGTGAGCCGTGCACACGAACTGATTTGGTCCCCGATGACCCCCCCCCTCCGCCCCCATGGCTTGCCAGTGCCCACAGAATAAGGTCGAAGCTCAGAACTCGGTGACCCAGGCTCTCGCCTGAGCAGCAGCGGCCATTCCAAACGGAACCCCTTGCTCTTGTGCTAAGTAACACTCGCAGCTTCGCCTTTGCTGTGGCGTGCTCAACTGGTAACACCAGCCCTGCCACCTTCCAAGGGCCAAAGCCTCCTCATTCTTCGGGGGCAGGACTCCTCTGACGGCCGCTCCTCTCCTCCGCAGGGGTCTCCTCTCTCCAGTAGGAGTGCCCCTTCCACCGAGCGGCATAGAGTGGACTACGCTTGTATTCCAGTTCCCCGGACTTCGCGACTGAGCTCACTCCTAGATTTCCTAGTCATTCTGTTTTCCGGCGGAGTCCCGCGGGCTCCGCCCCTCGGGTCCTGCCCCGCCCGGCGTGCGCGGCCCCGCGGCCTCGGCGCGCTCCCGGCCCACGCGCCATCTTGGCTCTGGCTCGAGCTGGAGGCGGGCGTTACCGTGGCGGTGAGACCCGGAACCCAGCGGGGTGGGGTAGCAGTCCTGGAGGCGGGGGACAGGAGAGGTCAGCTTTTTGGCTGCTGCGGCTGGCGGGACGCTGGGGGTGGCCTATGGAGATGGAGACGGCGCAGGTCTGGAGGCCGGTAGTAGCCGGAGCAACCCTCCACGTCAAGCCTCTGCTCCCGAGTTTCTGAGTGACCTGTTTTGGGGGGATGACCCTGGGAATCTCTAGGTGAGGGGTGCTCCGCTCTGCCCTAGGGGTTTTAGAGTGGTGGAGGGGGTCAGTTATGTCTTTGAGGAGCATTTTGGTGGGGACACTTGTCTCTGCGTGGGGAGCTTGGGGTGTAGGAGCTTGGCCCTGTCCTCTGGAAGTGATGGAGGACAGAGCAGGTTCCCTCGAGTTGGGGGAGACCAAGCCCTGCACTGAGAGACTTACAGGGGCCTTTGGTGGAGAGTGTAGAAAGAATGCAACACACGCCAAAGTTAGAGTCAAAAGAAAAGTTTATTAGAAAAGGGGTAACACTCCACGGACAGCATGGTTGCCCCTAAGAGGCAGAGAGTGAGAAAGCCGAGGACAGTGAGAGACAGAGTAAAGAGTGCAGAGAGAAAGAGGGAGTGACAGACACTGAGGGACAGAGTAAGGACAGTAAGGGACCCTGTGTGTTTGGGGAATTCAGTTTATGTATCATACTTTAGTTCCTGTGACTTACAGTTTAAAGACTTTGATATGGACATACAGTGAGGAAGGAGAAGAGTATGTTGCTTGAAAGGCCTGCTGGCATTTCCCAGCCTTTGATCCGTAGGTCTCTATGGTTTTAGCCATAGGGAATGAACGATTTTATTTGTGTAGGGCAGCCATGTAAGGAGTCTGTTTTTTCCTGTTTCCTCTTCATAGATGTGGGAAATGGGTTGTTAGCAATCCCAGCAGAAATCTTCCTTTGTTCTGCAGCCTGGCTGCAGAGCTGATCAACATATTGCAGTCTCTGAAATGTAGCTTGGTTTAACAGTTCTCTCGCCTCCCTATATTAGAAGTGTAAGGTGAGGGGACCTTGTCCCTGTCCTGGGAGAGCCTGGGGTGAGGAGCTCTCAGTTTTGTTCTCAGAGAGTCTGGGATGAGGGCCTGGACTCTATCCCAAGGCGCCCAAGATGCTCCCCACCCTTCGGATGCCCCCTCTGAGGGGACTTGGCCCTATCCCAGAGAGCCCAACATTTGGGGAATTTGGTTCTCTCTCAGGAACTCCAGGGTGGAGGGAGGGCTATGGCCTTGTCCAGGGGAAGGGGTTTATGAGGTACAGCTCTTGCCACCGTCCTGAGAAGCTGGGAGTGAGGGGATATCATTTTTTTCCCTATAAAGTCTGGAATGAGGAGTAGGGCCATGTCCTGGAGAGCCAAGTTGAAGGGATAGCCTGGCGCACATTGCCTAGCATTTATCTGACACTTCCCTGCAGTGGGCAGCAAGATCCAACGGCAAGCAGATGGAGCACTACCGGAAAGCTGGCTCTGTGGAACTCCCAGCACCTTCCCCGATGCCCCAGCTACCTCCTGATACCCTGGAGATGCGAGTCCGAGATGGCAGCAAAATCCGAAACTTGCTGGGGCTGGCACTGGGTAGGTTGGAGGGCGGCAGCGCAAGGCATGTGGTATTCTCAGGTTCTGGCCGGGCTGCAGGGAAGGCTGTCAGCTGTGCTGAGATTGTCAAGCGGCGGGTACCAGGCCTACACCAGCTTACCAAGCTGCGCTTCTTGCAGACTGAAGATAGCTGGGTACCAACCTCACCCGATACAGGCCTAGATCCCCTCACAGTGCGCCGACACGTGCCTGCAGTGTGGGTACTGCTCAGCCGCGATCCATTGGACCCCAATGAGTGTGGCTACCAGCCTCCAGGGGCACCCCCTGGCCTGGGCCCCGCACCTAGCTCCAGCTGTGGCCCCCGACCCCGAAGAAGAGCTCGAGACACCCGGTCCTGAAGACCTGCTGAGCAAGCTGTTCTCCAGGCTTGAATGTCTAGGATGGCTGTGCCTTCTTTGAGAAGCCTCTATAACTGTTCAACATCCTCAACAAGACTTGAATCCACAGAAGTGGGCCTTTTTGTTCTGCTTCCCCTTCTCTCTGCTATGAAGAGTGACAGGTGTGCGGTCTCTGCCATGTTCTGGATTGCTTAAGAAGGGCTTACTTTGCCTTCCATCTACCATTGCCTCTGATCTGCTTTATGACAGAGGTGCAGGGAGTATGTTTGGAAATAAAGGTTTGTCTAATGAGCCTCCCTCTGCTCTGCCTATTGTGTGGAAGTGGGATTAAGGGAGTGGGAGTCTCTGCCCTTGTCCCCCAGGAGCTCACAGGCTAGAGAAGGGAAAAGTAGCCTCAGGCTAGTGCCAAGATGATCTAGAGTTGTTAAGAAGTCTCAAGCAGTAACCTGATATATCTATACCTCTGGGTAACTACCACATGCTTTGGGCTGGTTTAGGGACTCTGCCAGGTACCAGGTCAGACATTTTTTTCCATCTGCGGCATATATTGTAGTAATTAAGATCATGGTCTCGAGCATTAGACTGCCTGGGTTTGAATCCTGGTTCTGCCTCTTGTTTATTAGCAAGTTACTGCTTTGTGACTTTGGGGAAATTACTTCTCTGTGCCTTAGTGTTCTTATCCATAAAACGATATAGTACTTACCACAAGAGGTGTTAAGAGGATTGAAAGTAGAAAGATACACATATAGCTCTTAGGTACCACCCGAGCATATAGTGCTATATAAATGTTAATTGCCTAATTATTAATGACTAGCTTACAAACATGCTTTTTCTTAAAAACATACCTCAATCTCACATCTCCCTTCCAGGTCTCATCCTTGCCTTATTACCCCTTGCTGCTCATTTCCTTGGCCTTAGACTCTTAGATTCACTCATGGTCAGGCCAGGGACATGAGGAAGTGAAGATTGCAATGGTAGCCAGGGCACTGCAGGGACCAGAGCAGGTTTGTGGGCAGTGGTAGACTCAATAAAGAGTTGAGTCTATTGGGTCTCCTACTAGATTTTTAATTTTTTTAAATTTTATTTTTCGATTATAGATGGCATTCTGTATATTAGTTTCAGGCATACAGCATAGTGGTTAGACATTTATGTAACTTACAAAGTGATTCCCCTGATAAGTCTTCCCACTGGATTTTGAGGTCTTCTCCAATGTGTCCAGTAGGCTGAGTGTCCAGTCACCTGGAAAGCACAAAGTTAGGGCTCTTCTGACCGTATGTTGTAGCAGGGTGGGCTCAGCAATTTGAGTGTTAAAGTGTTTGGCTGAGTCTGGGGAGGAGGACTTGAGGTGTTGGGGAAGAAATGGTTGGGGGATTAGAGGCCTAATTAGGGCTTAGAGCAGAGATGAGGAAACTATAGGGCCAGCAGGCTGTGGTCAAAACTTGGAACACTGTCATCCTTCGCTTTCCAAAGTAGGTTGCCCAGAGTGATGTGGAAGATCCTGAGGGAGGCGCAGGTGATGGAGATTCAGAGGATATTAGGAGAAACAGGAAAGCCTCTCAGCAGCTGCCCAGCCAGGCTTCTCAATTGCAGAGGTCATGGAGCATCCAGCACACCTCTAGAGGCTGTGGTGATGACTCAGGTGTCTTACTACCAGCAACCACCTGACTTCTCCCCATTCTCTTTGTGGCTAATTCAGGGTTTTTTCTCCCTCCCAGCTTCTGCTTCTTGCCTTTTCTCTGAGCATCTCCACTGATGAGTCTTCTACTATCAACACCTCTCTGTGTCGTTAGTCCCCAGAGCTTTGGGACCAGGCTACTTGCAGACTATTGATCTTTGGCTCAGTATCCCATCCTGATCCAGCCTACTGTGTCTAGGGTGGAATGATCATGTGGAATAAGCATGGTGACCTACGCTGAAGGAATGCTTCAGTGAGGTGACATCACAAGTTCTGGGAGTCCTATGAGGGGCTCCCAATTGGGCAGCTCGTTATTAAGCCACCACCTGGTATCTCCAGGAAGATGGCAGGAGTAGTGTGGAGGGAAACTAAGCTGGGGTTAAAATCCCTCAGGAAGAAGTGTCTCAGAATCAGGAAATAGGCCACAGGCTGAGGAAGAGATGGCTAGTGATTCCCGGACTTTTCCCCTCCTTGTCCTTCACAGAGCCCAACTGGGGTCTACAGGAGGAATTGAGAGAGGGAGCCAGAGAGAAATGAGACTTTTGGAGGTTGGAAAGCCCGACCAAGCTTAGGAAGGAGTATAATTGTTGTGTCAGTCTCTTCTTACTTTATCTTTAAGCCACTGTAGTATGGCTTTTGCCTCCATAATATTTTAGAAAAGGTTATGTCATGATACAAAAGGTAAGGAAATAGAAATAGCACTTTTAAGAAGTTGGATTGTGAATTGGAGGAGAGGTGATAAATAGCTGAAGAGGAATGTAGACTACAGAGAGAGTTTTTAATTAACTATTTCTAATGAGTTGGCATAGACTTGAGCATATTTGTAGGCTGATGGAGGAAGCCAATAGGGAAAAAAAATGGATACCTCATAGGATGAGACTCTTCAGGAGGCAAAAGGGTATGAGACCCAAAAGAATGGCGGTATGGACCTCCCAAAGGGAAGAGGAAAGATGCTGCCCTGTAACAGGAGGGAAGAAGCTCAGGATGGGTATGTATGCAGGTGGGTGTGGAGGTGAAGGTGGGACATGAGGGAGTTAGAGTTCAGAAGACTTCTATCTCCTTTTGAAGCAAGAGTCCAGCTCTGCTGGTAACAGTGGAGCAAGGAGGCTGGCAAGAAGGTGTGAGATAGTTGTTGCAATTAGGAGAGATAACAAGGAAGGTATAGGAGGGTGACTAGGCAGGGCTAAACCCAGTTGAGGCTGGTGACCATGAACATGTAGTACATCAGGGTTTGTGAGCTCCAGCAGTGCCCACAGGACAGATGAGGACTCAGAGAAAGCACTGTTGTATTCTTCCAGACTGAGGTCAAGACAGGCAGGAATGATTGAAGAATAATGAGACTGGCAAGAGAGTGCATGCAGTAAAAGACCAAGGAATCCAAATTGGGTTGAGAAAGAAGTGAAGATAGAAAGGGGCAGGAGTCAGTGGCTTGGGGTCCCTATGAAAAGATCTGGGCTAGGATGAGGAGAGGTGCAGTAGTTCAGAGAACTACGAGAGGGCATTGTAGCTGTATCAGTTTCTAGGGCTGCCATAGCAAAATACCACAAATTTCCTGTCTCCGTTTTGGAGACTAGAAGTCTGAAATCAAGGTGTCAGCAGGGCCATTTTCCCCCGAAATCTGTAGGGGAATCCTTCCTTGATTCATCCTAGCTTCTGGTTAGCTGGCAGTCTTTAGCCTCCTTGACTTTTAGATGCATCACTCCAGTCATCCATCTTCACATTATCTTCCCTTTGTGTGTATCTGATTCTGTGCCCAAATTTCTCCTTTTTATAAGCATCAGTGATATTGGATTTGGACTCATCTTAATGACCTCATTTTAACTTGATTACCTCTGTAAAGATCCTATTTACAAATTAAACCATATTTTGAGGTATTAGAGGTTAGGATTTGAACATAGCTTTTTTGGAGGGACACAATACAATCCATAACAGTAACTAAAGGATAAGATGGAAGAGTCAGTGGCTTTGAGAGTTTTAGGAGCTGACAGGACTTGGTTGTGGGCATGAGAGTAGATAGCTGAGTGGCCTGGAGGAAGTTACTGAAGATGAGGTTGAGGAATTAAGAGGCCAGGGAGGATGGTGTGTGTGTGTTGGGTAGGTTGGGAGGAGCATCTAGCTGGGTGATGGAGTCATGCAGGATGGAATATGCTAAGCATTCTTACTACCTGCCTTAGAGGTGGCATGTATAGTGAGTTAGCCCTGAAATGAAGACTTAAGAACACAGTATGACAGAGTTATGTACCTCCCATGTCCAAGCAGGCAGCAAGTCCTGACAATTTTGCTTCCTAAGTCTCCATTCCCACAACCTCTGTGCCCCTCATTATCTGGCAACAGTCTCTTTACTGGTCTCCTTCTTTGCTCTCCAAATCGAGCCACTAGCTGTTCCCTTTGTTTAGAATGCTTTTCTGCTAGATACCAGCATGACTATCTCCTTCCCTCCTTCAGATCTTTGCTCACATGTCACCTCAGTGAGGCCAACTCTGACGACTCCATTTAAGATTGTAGTCAACCATTTCTGATCTTTCTTACTCTTCCTTCCCCCACCCCCTGTTTTTTTGCCTTTTAAGTATAATCTCATCCTTTAATGTTTTGTTTATTGTCTCTCTTCCTCTGGTGAGAATGTAAGCTCCCAATTGACAAGAATTTCATTTTTTCCACTGTTGTAACCTAAGCATCTTGAACATAATAGGTGCTGGATAAATATTTAATGAGTGAATGAATGAATATTGAGCCTCCAAGTGTGTAGCCATACCCAGATCTATCATTTTTCTTAGTCTCCCCATACCCAGATTAGAGGACAAGATTCAAATTCACTCACTAGATAGCCTCAAAGGACACCCTTGCCTGGTCACTGCCATGGCTCAACCCATCTTTGGCCCAGTCCTCTTGGACCCTGGGCTCTGGCCACGCTAATGCCTCACTTTTCCCACGTGCCATGAGATTTTCTGCCTGAGCCTTTGCTCTTGCCATTCTGTCTGCTTGGAACTCATCAAAAGTGTTCAGAGGACACACATGCTGGGCTTTGAGCACTGTCTCCTAGGGACGTACCTCCCCACTTCCCTCTATTTGTCTGGACCACCAGCTTGGAGCTTAGGGGTCAGGCCTGATTCTGCCAGGCATCTCTTCTACTTTGGTTCTTGCAGTGGGAAAGATGATATCTGGCTGCACTTCTGAGACTTGCCAATAGGTGGCAGGATTCACAAAGGAATAGCTCATCCCTTCCCTTTCCTGAGTCTGCAGAGGTCTCCAGGAGCTTCTAGATATAGATGATAGTCTAAGATTGAAACTTGGCCCGTGGGCTCAGTGACCTCTCAGTTATTCAGCAAACAGTTAAAGATCACCCACAATGTGACAAATATAGTCACTGGGCTCGGAACTTCCAGCCCCATGAGGGTAATAACTATATATACAGATAATATCACTATTGGTGTGGTAAATTCGGAGATTAGGGAAGTTCATTTAGGCTTAAAGAGTTCAGAGTTGCTCATTCAGTCTCTGGGAACAGGAAAAACTTCAAAGAGGAGGTGATGCATGTGTAGAATCTCAAAGAGCTAGAAGAAAAGTGGAAAAGATATTCTAGGTAAAGGGCAAGCATGAGCTAAGACAGCGGTGAGAAG